AGTAATGTTGATAATTTGTGTTTGAAAAATTCGAGGATGTTAGCTAGGGATTTCTTGCATGCAAAAACATTCACCGCCAATTCGTCAGAATTGAGTAAAAACAGACAAGATGATCGCTTTCAGTCGAGGGAACCTTTTGAAGTGATTAAACGCTTTCTCGAAATCTAGTGCGATATAGATTATCGGCCATGCTGATTATGAATATGACCATGGGATTACCCCTAGCCCTTAAAGACCTGGTTTTCTAGAAAACCAGTTTTCCAGAACTCTAGAATGTAACCCAAATCTACTTAATCACGCATGATTGCAGCCCACACATTTCTGATTAAAATGAGACGTCTTCCAGCTTTACATGGCCGTTCTTTGCAAAGTTATAGAATTTACAAGAGAAACCCGAAATTCATTTCTTCTTTTTTTTTTGTTTTGAGCTGGCAATGATTATTTAGGGCTTTTCTTGCAAATTCAGTAACTGCACAAAGAACGGTCGTGTAAAGCTGGGAGGGATCTCATTTTAATCCGAAATGTGCCGGTTACAATCATGTCTCATTAAGGAAGATCTGGGTTACAGTTTAGAGTTTCTGAAAAACTGGTTTTCTGCAAAACCAGGTCTTTGAAGGACTAAGAGCAATCCCCATGGTAAATGATTAAAAATATTTGAGAATGAACATTCTCAAATATTTTCAATCACTCGCTTAGACAGTTTTATACAAAACGAGATATCAGCCAAGGTTTTACGTTGTGCTATCAAAAAATACCACAGAAAATAGGATGCGGATCAAAAACTAACAGCAGAAAGAAAAGCATCATTTTTTTGCCCCTTTCGTTCTACTACATAAATCACAATATGTGACATTTAAACATTTGTTAGCGGTAAAGTCGCGTTTCGCCAATTTTTCCAATGTATTATTCAGGAGAAGTGTACAAAAACTACAAACAGAAGTACGTAAACAACATGGAGCAGTTTCATCTTGCTGACAACTTTACGCTGAACTTATTCTATTGTACTATCATGTAATTAAAGCTTTTCGAAATCCACAAGGTCTAGAAAGATCGAACAGTCGAATGCTGACATCTACGTCAGAAGAATAGATTTTAAAATGCCATTTTTATAAATGATTTTCGTGGTGTCTAATTTGGTGACTTTTGGAGAAAAAATGTGAATTATTTCAAAATATGCAACAGTCCTTATTTATTTTTGCCTCTCTCGTATTGTATATAGACTATTTACTTATTTTTGTTATTGTTGTATTATTTAAAAAAGAATCATTTTCTAAACACACTTTTAATCTTGTTGATGTTGTGAACTTTTTATTACGTTATAAAGAGAACAAAACATAGCTCTAAAAATTGTGTTAATACAAATTAAGTGCATAGTCTGTAAATCAAATTTATTTCCTTAATGAACAGTAAGAGACTGTTTAACGCAATGTGTATGAAATTAAAGAGGAGAACAAATAATGTATTCAAGTAGAATTTAAAAATTTAGCATGACAAGGCATCGAATTATACTGAAAAGTGGAATGGTTCTGATAGATGTAAGGCGCACCAAATTCGAAATTGAAGCACTATTTTACATGTTTGATAGAGCTCGACGAGCTGATCAAGAATATCTACGTTTGTTGTTCCTTTTTGGTACCATTAATTCATGTTTTTACCGTAAATGAAGTAATAACTGATACTAACTTTGACTTTTTATGTTTGTTTGATAGAATAATAAATTATCTATTGATCTCTGACATAATTTTTCAGAATCATTGATTTCTTAATCATTTTTTCCAAAACATGAGCGCAATATAGGAAAAAAAATTTGAAAAATCGATAACTTCAAAAGTCTGAGGTTTTAATTGTTGGGTGAGTCTATTGGCACTCCCAGCGAGTGTCAACAAGGAGCTCTAAACACAACCATTACAATTTAATGGATGTTAACTGGTTGAGCAAGCTGATAGTGGTGAGAGTAACAATAACAGTGATGAATCTGATGTATCAGAAGAACAATGAAATTCATCAAATGAAAATTACCGTGAAAAAATTTAACTTGTCCCAGATATTTTCTTGTACTTTTTAATTATTTCCCAAAATACATTGCTTTCTAGGTTCTTTTTTAACACTCGATGATATTAACTTGTGTAAAGGACAAGATAAGATCCTGTAACACCCTTAATTGACACTATCATTGAGAGAATTCTTTATTTTTGTAAGGCATTGTCATTCGTTGTACGTTAAGGAAGAAGATAAAAACTGTTGTATACCATTTTTATTTTTATTCTTTTTTATGTCCTGTCTGGTTGCATCTTATGCAATATATGTCTTGCTGAAAAAATAAGAAAGAGAAATATTTAATATATGTAAACATTTATATTTATTTATATTTATTTTTATTTCTACGTGAATGTAACACTTCTGTGCAACTACTGAAGATGGCCGTATAAATAGACGGAAATATTTAATATTTTTTTTTCTTTTTTACAGTTCTTTACCTTTACGCTGTGTCAAACTGATGAAAAATTCTCGCTCAGCGGGACGAATATTTTACCGAAACATTTAAAACAAAAATGAAAATCTCGCTTCATATTTTGTACAAATAGGTTAGGATGTTTTCTTAACAAACTCTTTGTTCAAATGCCACAGGTGCTGTACCATCTACCTACCCTATCGTACCATAACTGCACTCCGATATTTTAGATGCTTTAGAAATATTTAATTCCATAATTTTCGTTCTAAAAATTGTCTACCTAGTACGTGGACTAGGTTTTTTAAGTTTTTATACATGCGAGTGATTCTGTTGAATTTTGTACGATTTGGGTGAAGTTGATGGCCTCAAACCGTTCTCCCTCTAAACTTAATGAAACTGTTTCATTTTTTTTTATACATATTTCAAGATACCGTTTAAATATCAGTACCGAACGACTACTTATTTCCAAAATATAATCCACGTGAATGTTTTTTCAGGTCCTAAGTGTCCTCTTCAAAATGGGTGTCAGACGAGATGTTGATTTCGACGGTTTGAGCATGATATCGGATTTCCTTTGAACATAAGGACTGATGGCTGAGGATAACTATAAAATCGCATGGAACAGACGCAAGCGACCATCCTGGCTACTGGTTACATGTTTATTTTCAGAAAGAAAACTTTAAAATCTAGCAAGAACCGATATTGAGCAGAATGGATCTGGAAAATTCAAAAAGGTTTTGTATTTACATACAAAACTTCTTTGTATTCGAGACTAGATTATCTATACAAATTCATTTCAACTCGTAACCGAAGAAATTTTGAGGCATCAAGTTTGTAGAGCATGTTTAGTGGCCGATAAACAATGTTAACAAACGGTTTTTTGTACTTGGATATGAGACTTTTGAAAACTAAGCTGTTCGATATTTTCAATGAAGTAAATAGTAAAAATTTTATGTCTCAATGAAGTTCTTCCTTTAGTCCTTAAGCACACAGAAGAAAGAGTGAAATCTATTTAGTAGTACTTTTTTAAATATAATTCGCCTCGTTCTTTCATTGATAAACCACTTCGTTTTAGACATGAGGCATTGATGGAGGCTAGTGACAAGTAAACAAACATATTATTTTTGAGTTAACTCGTAAGTGTACATTGGCCGGGTATAAATAGCGCCAAAGACGAAGAAAATGATCCACCTGTCACAGTTTTTCTTAACGATAAAAAAAGAGACATCGAAAGCAAATATTTTCAAAGAATTTTTTCTAAAAAAATGTTTTTCTCGAAAGTAGGACCTTCTGCAAACCGAAAATGATCATTTAAGACACCTTTCACTTAACTCACCATGAAAGAGCAGATTTTTGTATAAACAGTTTAAGAGAAGACATAGCTTGAGGATCAAATACAATAACAGTTCGCTTTCTAAAGGAGTGTGTTCTAGTGTGTTTAACTTTTCTCTTATTGGAGTATACTCACATAAGAGAAAAGTTGACTTTAAATACGGAATCTCGTCTATTTTTTAAATAAAAACATGGCAGTTTTTTGTAAAATCTTTTTCCTACCAGCTTTCGAATTTGTTTCAAAAGCCTTCTTAGAGTTCCATATAGAATCATTCTTTTACTGAGTAGTTATCATCAATACAAGCGAAAAAATTCATAATTCATTCATAATCGATCCAACTGTCTCATAATACTAGGATATATACTTTATTTTATCTGCTAAATGGTATCTGTACTAGGATTATTAAGAAAATACTTTCTCACCTCCAGAGATCGCTACATGAGTGCAAAATCGACTTTTTATACGGAGAACAGAATCGGTTCAAATTTTGGCGTGAATAGTAGCGCGTTTTAAGTGGCGCCACTATTCGCGCCAAAATGCGAAAAGTGATTTGAATCAAGAGATACTTTGCTGACCGTCGATTCATATAATAAGCTCTTCAGAAAAAAAATTTGAACCGATTCTGTTCTCCGTGTAAAAAGTTGATTTTGCGCTGATGAAAAAACCTTTAGTGAAGATATTTTGTATTCATGTTTGAAATCTCCATTGATTTTTCCTGTAGAGTGAAGATAAAATAGTATTCAGGTTTGAAGCTGCAATTCACACATAGCCTGTCTATCCAATGAAACATGTTCTAGTTGCTTTCTTTTAGGCTGTTCAATACGTTTGCCGTTTTTATAAAATACCCCAAATATCTTACGGTTCTACATCTTCAGAATATACGACCAATCATTTTAGTGCTTTTTCCTTATTTTTAACGAACAACACCACACCTAACTTTTGAAGCTCGTTTATTGGCAGATCTGATTGTAAGTCAAGGTTGGAATAATGTCGGATTGATTTTATTCGACAGACACACCAATATTTTCTAGTGCTCAGGTATTTTTAAAAACTGCTCAAGAATTGAATATTACCGTATTAGCATCTGCATCATTTGCAGCGGGCACGATTGATTTAACATAACAAATGAATATATTAAAAAAGTTAAAGGCAAGAATACTGTTGTTCATTGGAACAATGACCGAGTAACAACTAATCATGTAAAATTGTGTATCAATGGCTAAAGCTGGCGGTTCATTGAGTGAAGGTTTGTACGGAACTAGATTTCAGTGGATTAGTATTCATGCGAGTATGTTTAACGATTTGTATTTAAATTTTACTGGTGGTATTATTAAAGATTATTATAATTTTTCCCAAGACTTTATTGGTTCACAGAATCTGTTCTATTTCAATTCGGATGTTTATCAGCGATATGTTACACGTTGGCGTTCAGCACCATACGATCTGAAAGTGTCCACAATTCATCCAAAAGACACTAGTACATCCATATCTGTTATAGCTAATTTTGCATATGACGCTTGTTTTATGTTTGCTAATGCATTACACCGAATAAGTGAAGTGATGCATTTAAATCCAATTGATGAAGCTAATCGTGAGATATATTATCATTATTAAAGAATACGAGCCTTTTCCGTGTTAGTGGTTGATATCGATCAAAAGGGTGATCGTCTAGCTTCACTTGATATTGTGATTTTTCAAAATAATCAAATAGTGCCTATTGGTATAATCAGTGTTGCTAGAAACGTTAATTATTTATCTCATGTTAAAATAGTCATGCACTTACACAAAACTCTTGGATTCTCTGGTTCGACCATTAGTTAAAATACCCGTGAGTACAGTAGCACAGTGGGCATACAGGCGGAAATTAGGCAGAAAAGCAAAGTTATTCGTTTTTCAAAAATAGATAGTGTAAAATGTAGCCCTGAAAATTCTCTATCGAATGGTGTATAAATGTCTATTTTGAGTAGGGATGTTCGGTTCCCGGTTCCGGAACCGAGAACCGCGGTTCTGGAACCGAAACCACGGTTCCGGTTCTCGAGTTAGAACCGAACCGAAAAGAACCGCGATTCCGGTTCTCGACTTAGAACCGAAGCGAAAAGAACCGCG